TGAAACCCAGGCCCTCCCCCATAAAGCATGCCATTGTCCCCATGAAGGCCCCAGGGCCCTGGCCAAGGAAGCAGCTTCTGTTGGAAAAGTCAGCTGCTTCATCCCAGCTGACCTTAAACTAGCAGGAGGGTAATCTTTAAAGTCAGCAGAGATGACCGAGTTAAAAAGTCGACCAGATACGTGAGGGACAGGTCACTATCTTCCAGGAAGAGCAGTTGTCACACCGGAGCACGAGACCAGATCACAGGAGAGGAGGAGGCCAATAGCCCCCATGCAGGAACTGGTCACAAGCCCCAGCAGCTGACCAACGCCATCTCTCCACTGCCTGAAGGAGGAGGGAGTCCTCCTTCTCCCACCCAGCCCCAGGTCCCTCTAGGAAGGAGGTGGGGACAGAGCAGCAAGTATCCATGGTCCTGTGGGCTTGTCTCAGTCTATACCATTTAACCCCCACCCAGGCCCCTGACCCTCCCCCTCCCCCCAGACTATACTATCCCAGCTGTGTATCTTCCTTAAACTGCCCACTGTCCCCCATGATAGGTGCCCCCCCAGCTGGGTCTGGCCCCCTCTAGGCATAGAGAACAATGATAGAAATGTGGAAAGCCAGGTGCTGGTGGCTCACACCTGTAATCCTAACTACTCAGGAGGAAGCAATCAGGAAGACCGTGGTTCAAAGCCAGCTAGGGCAAATAGTTCCATGAGACTTTATCTCGAAAAAACCCATCTCAAAAAAAGGTGTAGGCCCTGAGTTCAAACCCCAGTACCAAAAAAAAAAAAAAAAAGTGGGAAGGGGCCCCACCCTCACAGCACCCTTTGCTCTGGAATTTCTCAAGGTGTCTCTGCACAAGCTCCAAGCAGGAGGACCAGGATGCTCCCCTTGGGGCAGTTATGTCTGGCCATGCCTCATCAAGCTGGTGGAATCTGCCTTGTGCTGCCCTGCCAACAACCTGGTCTCAGGAATGTGCTGGGGGAGGAGGGTGGGCTGCACACCCATCCAAGGTCCAGGTGAGGAAGCCAATGAAATCAGGCTTCTACTGCTGGACTCAACAGCGGGACTGCCAGGTTGCAAGCCAAGCCACCCACCTTGTTATCAAGCCAGCTTCACACAGGAAGCATGAGGCCCCGGAGGGGACGATGGGTGAGTGGTGGTCAGCCAGCAGAGGAGGGCTGTGGAAGGGGCACACCGGTCCCCCATAGCCCCCAGTGGAGGGAGTGGAAGACCAGGGCCAGGGATCTCCTCTGAATCGTTCTCAGTCGCATTATTTATACTCCCACCTCCTCCCTATAAGAATTTCAGCAGACTCTAAAATCCAGCAGGAGAGAACACAAAGAAAAGTGAGAGCCAGGAAGGGCAGGTGCGGCTAGGGCTGAGCTCTACCCCTGGAGCAGCTGCGCTCCCACTGGGCTCTGCCGCCTGAGGCAGGAGAGAAAGGATGGTGGTGGCTCCCTGGGGCGGCCACCCCCACACCTGGCACTCGGATAAGCCTCGGGGTGGAACGGCCACACCTGGCCGCGGGAGGGGAGAAGAGTCTTTGGCGGCTGTGGACACCGAGGACCCCACCCCCACCCCGGCCAGGAGACCCGGCAGCTGCAGAGGTCACCGGGGCAAAGGCAGGAGGCACCGTCGTGGGACACTCCAGGAGGGGGTGGGCTCTCGCTCCGCGACCCGGCTCGGCTCCCAGTTGCCCCTCAACCCCGGCACTGGGGTAGGACCGACCCCTCGGCAGGGGCCGCTCTACTTGAAGGCCACTGATTCCACGGCGACCCTGAGTCCCCTTTAAAAGTTTGTCCCCAGACGAAACCCCTCTCTTCGTCCCTCCCAAAGAAGCGAGACCGGCCCCACGCGAGGCTCTGAGGACACACGCGGCTGCCCCTCCCCATCCCTTCGGAAACAACAATGAGCAGCCAGCCAAAGAGAACCGGAGAAGCAAGCGTGAGAAATACCCGAATTTTGCAATGTCAACTGCCGGGCTCTCCCCGAGCCCGAGGCTGCAGCTCTGCCCCCGCGCGTCCGCCCGCGGGACTGCACGCGCGGAAGGGAGGGGCGCCGCGGTTGATCTCTTGGTTCTCAGACTCTGAGCACGCACGGGGAGCAGGGAATTACGTTTGGCTCCTAAAGCTGAAATCTTACCGCGGCTTGCACTTTTCAGAGCAGGAGTACAGTGCCTTGTTTTCATTGGATCATCACATCCTGCCACTAGCCGTGTTCCTTGTTTTTTTTCCTTGACATTAAGTCAGAGATCATACATTACAGAATTGAGTGTATCACCAGGGGACAAAGATAGCCACGGAGAAGAAGAGCTGTGATTGCTCTTTTCTGAACTGTGAAAACACTCAGGCTGGGGGCTGTCTCCAGCAAACACTTGGCCCTCTTTATGTGCATATAAGCTCTTTGGGCTGTGGGGAACCTTGGTCACTGGGCAGAGCTGGTAGAGAGAGAAAAGCAATACAAACAGAAGCCCACTGAGTGCCAGGGGCTGGGTGCTCCTCCTTGATCCCACTGGTGTGTTTCTGCCTGATTTTCAGAGAATGACAAAGGCTCCATCCTGGTTGTAGCCTGATAGAAGCTGCCCAGCAAGTGAGGGCTGGCACCTGCATCCCACCCTGCCCCCAACTGTCCACCAATTGGTGGACAGGCTTGACTTTGGGATCCCAGAAACTGGTTCACCATCTAGGGGCCTTGCAGTGCATGTGCCAGGTGGGCTTAAGGTGGAAGACTGAGAAAAATCTTGTAGCCAACTAGGAAGAGTTTCTTCCTCCTAAGAGAATTCTAGAATGAAAAGGCTTCCTGGCTGCTTAAAATGGAGCTTCCTCTCAGCCATACTGCAGCAAAGAAGTCTAATGAAATTGCTTATCTGGGGAAGATGTTGTTCCAAGGGGTCAGGCTGCTCTGGCTCCCACTTCAGCTTGTCACAGGGCAACCACCCACTGTGTCACAGGGCCCTGGCCCTATACAAGGCTCTTTTTCCATCTCTGGGCCTCAGTTTCCCCAGTTCTCGTTACAGGGTAGGGCCACAGACCAAGAACAGAAAGTGGGTTTGGCCTCTTTCTCTTGAGCACTCTGGGTAACAGTAACCCAGAAGCTGAGGGGTGGCCCTCTAGACCACCCCACATCCAGCGTGGGGAAACTGAGCAGATCTCACCCAGCCAGGGATCAGACTGCCCTGGAGCCAAGCTCTTAACGCCTTGGAACCTCACAGCCTACATCACAGGCTTGCTAATGGGATTGGAAATGGCACACATACAACACCTGACACCCTGGGCCCTCACCACAGAGCAGCTTGAGTTATGATTTGCCTCTTGGCAAAGCACTGCCTGGTGGGTTCACTTTGGTCTGCCGTGTCCAGTCCCATGCAGGAGTGCTGCCCAGCCTTAGTCACCAATAAGGTCAGGGGAGAGTCGGTGAAAGCAGGCTCTGCTGAGCCCCCACTCCCAGCAAGAAAGAATCATTACTGGGGAAGGCTGACTAAGCTGCCCCCAAGGCTCCCTGGCTCCAGGACAGTTCCAAAGCAGCTTATAAGCTAAGCAGGGGCTTAGGGTCCCCGGATCTCACTGCAGACACCCCAGGCAGGGCTGTAGGTCAGGGTCCTGCACCCATCTGACCACAGTGAATATTCCTCAATTCTTTTGGAAAAGTGCAGAGTCCCCATTTAGTTGGGTTTTGGGGTGTCAGTGTGTTGCTTGTTCCCTGGGTTTGCTTCTGGAAGGGCTTTCTGACTTGATCTTACATATTTTCAACAGCCTTTGGGGGGCATAATTGACATACAACAAATGCTGAGGACCCATTCCCCACCTACCCACCCCTGCAATGCATTCAGATTTCTAACAGAGTGGTATCAGGCACCACCCAGCAGGCTTGATGTAGGCATTTGTGCCAGATCTGGCGGCAGGACTGCCTTCCAGAGGCCACAGTGATGTGCATCAAAACACTAGGACCCACCCCAACTGCCCCTGTCCCTGTGGGATTCACACCCCACCCCACCTCCTGCCCCTCAGAGGGTCTGCAGCCTGAGTAGGATCAGGGCCCAAGCCCATGTGTATTGAGCTGGGTGTGGCTGACCCTCAGCGCTGTGGTGCGCCCAGGTTGCACCCAGGTTGCACCGAATTTAGGATGGTGAGCCTCCTGGGCTGACAGGAGGCGGGACAAGGCCCCAGACTGGGCACCCCTAGGCAAGACAGACCCAGGCTGCCAGACCTGCTCACCGGCCCATCAAATCAAGAAGTCAGAATTTTCTGGGAACTCTCACAAGATTTAAATGTTGGCTCAATTTTTATAACTTTTTCATTGGACTACAAACATGGTGGGAACCAATGCACATTGGCTGAAATTACTTTCAAAGAAGGGGCTGCATAAAACTGCTCCACGGACCTCTGCAGACATTTCAACATCTTCACGCTGAGAGGCTCAGGGTCATTGTCCCAAAGTCACAGGGAACGGGGAGGGGTCCAGCCAGATCCCGGGCCCACGCCCTCAACCCTCCCTTTCCTTCCCAGCCTCGCCGGGTAGCCCCAAAAGTCAGATGCTCCCGACCCCCGGGGGCTCGCACTACAGTTCCGCGCTCTCAAATCTGGAACTTCAGAGAGCTCAGCGTGCAAGGTCAAGGCCTCTTTTCCCTTGGGGGCAGAGGAGGAGACCGCCCGCTGCCCGGACCTGAGAAGGAGGGGGACCCAGGACTCAGAGGTGTCCGCTGCTGCGCTCCAGGCCCTGGAGAGCCGTCCCTGTCTAGGCTCTACTGTGTCCAGGCTCCCCGCAAGCGTCTGCCAGCTGGGATCAGTTTCCTGTCCACAGCTGCCGGCCTTCGAGCGGCGTCGCTACCGCCGAAGACACACGACCCGGCGCCCAACACCCGCCTGCCACAACCCCCAGCTCCAGAGGCGGAGCCGAAGATCCGAGCGGGCGGCGACAGCAAGAGACGCCGCGGGGGCGGGCCGGGGGCGGGCCGGGGCGGGGCGGCGACGGACTGCGGAGACGCGGCGGCGCGCTGGGCGGCGCAGAGCGTTCTCGGCGCGGAGCACAGCGGGCTGGTGCGGGGGGCGCGGGCTGTGGGCTGCGGCCGGGTGGAGGGAACCAAGCCGGGGGTCAGGCGGGGAGTCTGGGCCAGGCAGGGAGCAGACATGGCGCCGCGGAGGGCCAGGGCCCGCGCCGCTGCGGGCAGCCTGGGCGCCGAGTAGCCGGGCCGGGCCGGAGCGCGGGCGGCGGCGGCGGAGGCAGCTGCGCCCGCGCCCCCCGCCCTCCCAGGCCCCTCGCCCCGCGCCCGGGCCGCCGGCGATGGTGACACATGCGGCGGCGGCGCGCCGGCGGCAGGACCATGGTTGAGCGCGCCAGCAAGTTCGTGCTGGTGGTGGCGGGCTCGGCGTGCTTCATGCTTATCCTGTACCAGTACGCGGGCCCGGGGCTAAGCCTGGGCGCGCCCGGCGGCCGCGCGCCGCCCGACGACCTGGACCTCTTCCCGACGCCGGACCCGCACTACGAGAAGAAGTACTACTTCCCCGTGCGCGAGCTGGAGCGTTCGCTGCGCTTCGACATGAAGGGCGACGACGTGATCGTCTTCCTGCACATCCAAAAGACCGGTGGCACCACCTTTGGTCGCCACCTCGTGCAGAATGTGCGCCTGGAGGTGCCCTGCGACTGTCGGCCGGGCCAAAAGAAGTGCACCTGCTACCGGCCCAACCGCCGCGAGACCTGGCTCTTCTCCCGCTTCTCCACTGGCTGGAGCTGCGGGCTGCACGCCGACTGGACCGAACTCACCAACTGCGTGCCCGGCGTGCTGGACCGCCGTGATCCCGCCGCGCTGCGCACGCCCAGGTGAGCGCCCGCTGCGGAGGGGAGGAGGGAGAGTGCGATCGCGGAGCCGGGTGGTGGGGTCCCAGCGCAAGACTGTGTCCCCGAGCCCGGCCTGTGGCCCCACCGGCCAGTACTTGGCCATCTCTGCTCACCCTGCTTTCCTGGGGCCCTCACTCGCTGCGGCCCCTTCCGACCTGAGCTACCCAAGGACCCCCGCTTGTCTGCTCCTGCAGCTGCCACCCCTGCCTTCTAACCTCCCTTTTACCCTCTCTTTTGTGCCTCACTTTCCCCACCGGTGACCGGCTTGGCTGCGCAGTGCCCGGACTTCCTTCTGGGTCACCGCCTGCTGCCCTCTTGTCGAACCAGCCTGCGTGAGACCTAATCCTCTGGGGCTAAGTCCAGTCTGACCCTACACAGCCCCGTGGGTCTTTGGGCGGGGCAGCAGGTTTCTGGGTGGGGAAGTGTAGCCCAGCCGGAGTGTTGGATTTCTGTGTCTAGTATTAAGAGTGGAGCGAGAGAAGTGAGGTTCCTCTTCCACTGCGCCTTTGGTGTCCCCAGCCGTGTGATGCCTACCAACCTGCCTTCAGGGGATGGGGAGGAGCTATCAGGGAAGGGGTGGGCTCTGCCTGCCGGTGTGTGCAGGTAGAACAAAGGCCCTGTGTGACCCGGGGCTGGGGGCGGGGAGAAGGCTGTACTACCTGTCCTCCCCAGTCTTGAAAAAGGAACAAAAGCCTCTGGCTGCGGGCTACCTTCCCTGGAAACCCACCTGCCAGGTTGGGGGTGGCAGAGGTGGTAAGGAGTACCTATGTAGCTAGACCACCAGCCTCCCCCGTGGCCCGCATATCTGAGGGGTTGGGGAGGACAGGGATGACCTGTACGTGGGTAGGGGTGCTAGGACAGTCCCCCTCCCCGGAAATACTTTGTAACAGAGCCCTGTGCCTGCCTGGGGTTCCTGCATTTAAAGTTGGGATTGTTTTCCTGCTGTCTTATTGGTGCCCCCTCCTTCTTCAGGAATGCCCAAAGGGGTCTTCTCCCAGAATGTCTGGGCTGGGAAGGGTCAGGAGTGAGCTCTTGTCTGTCTCATATTTACCTTAGGACTGAATTTGCAGGCAGGCTGGGGGGAAGGATGGGTGTGGGCAAATCTGTGCCATAGGTATCTTCAGGAAGGTGCGAGTTCTCAGGTGGATCCAGGTCCTCCAGGACCCAGCCAGCCTGGAGCTGTTTGTGACCCATGCCTCTGTTTCCCTGCACAGCCTCCAGTCCGTCTTTACCCGAGGTTTTTCTTTGACTGCCAGAAAATTGGGGTCCTAGAGTCTGGAGTGGGGGTTTATATCCACTTCCCTTTAGCTGTGCCATGCCCCAAGCCCCATCCCTGCATCTCTCAGCCTAAGAAGGAGTGTTCTGGGAAATTAATTTGATGGATACAGAGCTGCCTGCCCAGGCCCTTGAAACATTACTTCCTGCCCTGCTGAGGTCTACTCTACGCACATGCACATTCTTGGTGTGGGACCCATCCCCATGGTCCAGCCTGGCGATGCTAGATGGAGCTAGGCCTGACCACAGCAGCCATCCACCCTTCCACCCACCAGAGCTGTAAGTGCTGAGTACTGACAGACCCTCCCAGCAGTAGGGAAGTGCATCCTGTCTGTGGGATTCCATGAAGGAAGAGTATGCTCTTGGGGTGGCAAAGGAGTCAAGGCCTTCAAAGTGAGCCTACCCAGAAGGGGCAACCTTGGCCACAGATTGCAACCAGGGTGCTCTTCCTGCAGCCCTTTGGGTCCCCAGGGTGAAAGGCCTCCTGCCCCCTTCTCCAGAGTTTGTCCCCCAGAACAGAAGCCCAGGTACCCTCAGCCAGGAGTGGGAGGAGCAAAGAGGCAGATGGACCCCAGGTGCTGCATGAGGCCCCAGCACTCCTCGCCTGGGCTCGTGTGTGGGGCAGGAGTGGGAAATGCACTGTGCTTGTGTGGTCAGCCGGATGCGTTGTGCTGCATGGACTGCCAGCCCCTCAGCCTGGAAGTTGCTGGCTCAGCAGCAGCAGGCCAGGTGGCCAGAGGGCTTCCGGAGCCCTCAAGAGGCCCTCTGCTGTGGCATCTAGCAAGTGACACTGGTTACCTTCACATCACTCTTTCTCCCTCATCCCCCTTGCTCTGTTGCAAACACTAGGTAGATTGCCCTCCAGAGCTAACTTAGGAGGCCAAGGGAATCTCGGCCTTGTGCATTTGTGACTCCACTGTGCCCGGGTCCACCTGCTCAGGGCTCCTCCAGGCTAGGACTGGACCTCGGTGCTATGGATGTCAGGGTGATCTGCTCTCATTTGCCTACACTGGCAGGGTGGCACAGATGTCACCCTGCTGTCCTATCCTCCCAGACCCTGTGTGTGGAGTGACTCTCTGGCTGGTGAACCAGGAGGAGATGGGCCTGTCAGATCTGACAGGTGCTCTCTCCCTCCTGTCTGCATCCCTAGGGTCTGTTGCTGTTCAAACAAATACCTCCCTGCCCTGAGGCATACTTCTGGAGCCTTTCCACTGTGTCACCCCCCCCCACACACACACACCTCTGGCACTAATGTATTTGGGGACTCAGAAGAGGTGAGCCTTAGGTGCAGAGGCATGGGCTTTACCCAGCTCCCACCCTCTTTGTGGTGTGACACGCCTGAGCTAGGCACACATTCAGGTGACAAGTAGAGATGGATGGGTTTTTGCCACCTCCCTGGAATGATTTTGAGTTCTCAGCAGCTGTTAGAGCTTCCTGCCCTAGTAGAAGTGCAGGTGTGAGCAACACCTTGGCAGGTCCCTCTGTGGTCCTGTATCTGCAGGAGGGGCTTAGGGGGTGGGGGGGCATTAGCTGAGGTGCTAGAACCAGCCTGGAAGAGTAGGTTGCTGGGCAGCCTCAGACAGATGTGGCTGCCTGCAGGTAGCAGCCAGGGGAACAGCTGTTAGCAGAGCCACTTGGAGTAGTGGCTGTCAGCATCTCACATTCTGTATCTTTATACCCTACAGGGTTAGTGGGCCAGGGCTTCCCACCCTCCCAGGCACTGCCCATGTGCCACCTGGGCCAGCTCTAGTCTCTGGGTCACAGAGCCCTTTCCTAATGAACATAGTACTCACCCTGGGCCCCAGGAGCGAGGGAAGCCCACTGTCATTGGTCACTGTGGCCTCAATCTGGTAGCTTCCTCAGCAGGAGGTTGGTTGCCATTTCTGGGGGCGTGCCCAGCAGTCCAGTCTTTTGGGTCTGCAGTCCGTCCAGGGTCCAGAGGGGAGGACAAGGAGGGGATAGCACAGCAAAGTCTTCTCTCTTGCACTCCTCCTTCATTGTAATGATGGGCCTCTGTGGCTGTGGGGAGGAAAGGGTGAAGAAGAAAGAGAAAACACCCTGTTCCCCATGCTCGTGTTTCTTCTGATTGCAACCCTGGAGTGAACTACACCATGAGCACTGCCCCATGTCATTAAAGACACTTCATAGGGGCTACTTTGTGCCCCTTGGGTGCCCTGTAGTTGGCTGGCTGTTGTTGAACGTGTGGGTTTTCCAGTTTGGCTTCCATAAGGAATGCTGCGTGGACATCATTGTGAGTGTTTTGCATGGCTCTGATTTCCATTGGAAATTCCGAGTTGTGGAATGTCTGCATGGAGCCGAGTGTTTTAAACATCTGCTCCTTGGCATTAACTTACTCTGGAAGGTCCACACTGTGTCCCCAGCCCTTCTCAGCAGCACCTTACTGGTGTTTGTATTGTTGGTTTTCTTTAAATCAGAAAAAAGGGCCTATCTTGTGGTTTTTAATCACAAAGCCCTGCCAAACTCATGCCATTCGGGTGACTTGTCACCCCAGTTACCTCCTCATGGATGTCGCTGTCTCACCCCTATTCAGAGAAGAGTGCAGCCCCCAGGGGCACACAGGGAGGCTGGGGCTTGTCCCTGAGCCCTCAGTGGGTGTTAGCATGGACTATCTCACTTGACCCTTGCTATGGATTGGGTTTGTGTGCTGGGAACTTTGTCCCCAGTGTGGTGGTACTGAGGTGGAAAACCTTTCAGAGGTGGAACCCAGGGGGAAGCAATTAGGCTGTGGAAGGCTAATCCCCCAGAAGGGACTGACGTCACTCCTGGAGGACTCCAGTCGGTTCTTGAGAGAGGCTTGTAGAAAAGTAAACCTGCCCTCTCCCCAGTTGCTCTCTGGCTTCCCATCCTGCCACGTGATCTTTCTCTTGCACAAGCTTCCACCCTGACGCCATGCCTCACAAGGCCGTCATCAGGTCTGAGCCACTGCTGGCACTGTGCCCTCGAACCTCCCAGAGCTCCAAACTAAATAAACCTCTTTTTCTTTAGACAGTACCTGGCCTTGGTTATTTTATTATAGCATTGGAAAACAAGCTAAGACACCCCCTCAACACACCTATATGGCAGGTGTGTGAAGATCGGCCCATTTTTCCATGAAAGGAAGTCAAGGCCCAGAGAGAAGTTGTAGAATTTGACAAAGGAGTAAATAGCCTGGAGGAAGCATTTGGACAGCTATCCATCCTGAAGCTTTATGTCTTCCCAGCCTTCTGCTGTGCCCCTACCCACCCCCTAGTGGAGAGAACCGTCCCTAGGTGAGAATGGCAGCTGCAGGATTCATTGTGCAGCCTAGCAGGCCTGAACAGGCACACAATTTCACACAAAACCTGCATGGTTGGCTTCCTGGAAAACAGGTGACTGTGGGACAGCAGTCAGGCCATGTTCTCTGAGGTCTGCTGACAGTCAGCAGAGAGCCCAGTGTGACCAGCAGCTGCCAGCCTCCTCCCCCCTCAGACCCAGAGCTGCCAACTCCACCACCTGGCCCAGGCAGGAGGGCCTGCCGGAGTCAGTGTTGCAAGTGTGGCCAAGGTGGGTGTGGACCAGCCTCTGCCCTGTTCCTGTATCCGTGCTTTGCCCAGTGGGTTTCCAGGGTGGAAACCGGCATCTCCCTGCCCCTTCTGGGCTTCCCCGGCATCCTCAGAGGTAACTCCCTCTTTCTTTGCCCTCGAATCCCGCTTGGCTTGACTTGACTT